AGCGTGTGAGAGTGTGTGAGTGAGTGAGAGTGTGTGAGTGTGAGTGAGAGCGTGTGAGCGTGTGTGAGAGTGTGAGCGTGTGAGCGTGTGAGCGTGTGAGCGTTTGTGAGAGTGTGAGAGTGTGAGAGTGTGAGAGTGTGAGAGTGTGAGAGTGAGAGTGTGTGAGTGAGTGTGTGAGTGGTGTGAGTGTGAGAGTGTGAGAGTGAGAGTGTGTGAGAGTGTGTGAGTGAGTGTGAGTGAGTGAGTGTGAGTGAGTGAGTGAGTGAGTGTGAGTGAGTGTGAGTGTGAGAGAGCGTGAGCGTGTGAGCGTGAGAGAGCGTGAGAGCGTGAGAGTGTGTGAGAGTGAGTGAGAGCGTGAGAGTGTGAGAGAGTGTGTGAGTGAGTGTGAGAGCGAGTGTGAGCGTGTGAGAGAGTGTGAGAGAGAGTGTGAGCGTGTGAGAGCGTGTGAGAGCGTGTGAGAGTGTGTGAGCGTGTGAGAGTGTGTGAGTGAGTGAGAGTGTGTGAGTGTGAGTGAGAGCGTGTGAGCGTGTGTGAGAGTGTGAGCGTGTGAGCGTGTGAGCGTGTGAGCGTTTGTGAGAGTGTGAGAGTGTGAGAGTGTGAGAGTGTGAGAGTGTGAGAGTGAGAGTGTGTGAGTGAGTGTGTGAGTGTGTGAGTGAGAGAGAGTGAGAGAGAGTGAGAGAGAGTGTGTGAGAGTGTGTGAGAGTGTGTGAGAGTGTGTGAGAGTGTGTGTGTGAGCGTGTGAGCGTGTGAGCGTGTGAGAGTGTGTGAGTGTGAGTGAGAGCCTGAGAGCCTGAGAGCCTGAGAGCGTGTGAGCGTGTGTGAGAGTGTGAGCGTGTGTGAGCGTGTGAGCGTGTGTGAGCGTGTGTGAGAGTGTGAGAGTGAGTGTGTTGATTCGTGCTGTGTGTGTGTGTGTGTGTGTGTGTGTGTGTGTGGTGTTTCAGCTGAGTCAGAGGCCCACAGTGGAGGATCTGCGTCGAGCCAGGATCCTGATCCGCTTCTGTGATTACGTGGAGGTGTCGGACGCTCAGGACTACGACAGACGCACAGACAAACCCTGGATGAGACTCACGGCGGCCGACAAGGCAAGTGTGGAGGACACTCAGATGAGTGTCTGCACTGTTCTGGTGTTTTGTAGAACTGACTGAATAAGGTGCGTGAGTAGCAGGTAACTCAGCTGTCAGGTGAAACCATGCTTTGCTGATCGACGGGTGGCACATTGAGCGACATGTGCACCTGTTCAGATCAGAACTCTGAGCTTGTGTTACACAATGATGCTGCGTTATAAATGAAGGGACAGCCGAGACCAGAGGATTTAAACAGGGCTGAAGCGTGCAGTGTTTGTGAGCCTCTTCAGACAGCTGGAGTGACGTGTGTGTGTGTGTGTGTGTGTGTGTGTGTGTGTGTGTGTGTGTGTGTGTGTGTGTGTGAGGTGTGAGGATGAGTCTGAAGTGTGTGGTGGTTCAGTTGAGTATCTCTGATTACTTCGAGGACGCCGACAATGAAGAAGCCAAGAGTTGTGTGTTTGTTTGTTTGTTTGTTGCAGGCTGCCATCAGGAAAGAGCTGAATGATTTCAAGAACAATGAGATGGAGGTGCACGAGTCCAGCCGTCATCTGACCAGGTGAAGCAGCTTTGTCTCACACCTGCATATTGAACATATTGATACAATCAGTACCTTCATTTCTATTTTCACTGTTCAAGTGTTTCATTTCATTTATTTTTATTTTTAAATGAGTTAATTAGTTATTACTTTTTCATCACAATCCCTGCTTTGGGAAACCCAGGTGTAATTGAATGTTTAATACACTTCATGATGTCGATCTAAACTCTAAAGTAACCTAAAAGTAGTCTGAATACATTAACTAATATGTGACCCTGGACCACAAAACCAGTCATTAATGAGATTTATACATAATAATCTTTCCATTGATGTATGGTTTGTTAGGATAGGACAATATTTGGCTGAGATACAACTATTTGAAAATCTGGAATCTGAGGGTGCAAAAAAATCTAAATATTGAGAAAATCATCTTTAAAGTTGTCCAAATTAAGTTCTTAGCAATGCATATTACTAATCAAAAATGAAGTTTTGATATATTGACTGCTTTTGTGCTGCAGGCTCACATACGTGTAATCCAGTAGATTACTGTAATCAGTAACAGACTACAGTTGGTAAGTAATGCATCATCCCTGCGCTCCGCTCATGCTCTGTGTGACAGGTTTCACCGGCCGTGAGACGTCTGAGCTGCTTCTGCAGAGCTTCCTCAGATCCGCCGGCGTGGCACTATTGCACTGCATTCGCACCAACACCAGCGCTTCCCTCCATCCGTTGTGCTGGTGTTTACAGGGTTCACCATCAGGAGGGCTTTCCTTCACACCATCCACTTCAGCGGCAAACTGTGAATTCTACACTCATTCACATCTGTATGAAGCGTTTTATTCATCAGGGCCTGAGAGACTCCTTTCTTACTGCATTATTCTCACCGAAGGCTCTCTGTGTTTGTCCCACATGTGTGTGGATTATGGTTGTTTTAAGCTATTTTTAGACCATTTTTCATTCATTTGCATGATTCTTGTGATGCCTGTCAGCAAATGTCCTGAAGGTCTTTGTTTTATTCATGTTTTTCTTGTTTCTTTTGCCTGTTATTTTTGTTTTATACAATTTATTTTTAAGTTAAATACATTTTACCATCCTCTTGCACTGTGTTTATTGGAATCACAAACGACTTGTTCCAAGCGCCCATCATCCATCCTTCTGAATTCGTCTTTAATAAACGAGTGGTTTAATTCTAACAGGTTGAGATGCGCTGACAGACGTGTGATCGTAGTGTTTTTCTGGATGTTTCACTCTTTTGCACTTGTGCTCATTGACTGCAGCTCAGTGGTGCAGTGTGGCGCTTGCAACGCCAGGCTCACGGGTTCGATTCCCATGGGAACCGCCAGATTAATTGTAGACATTTGAATGCTTGAGCGTCTGCACTATTCTTACATTCAAGTCCTAATGGAAGGATGTTGGTTTCCTTTAACGTAAATGATTAAGTTGCACAGACGAAGGATGCCAAACTCACACTAATGTAATAGAAACGACAAATCAGCCTTTTCAAATCTATTCTTATTTTAATGCTCAAACATCCAGTGGATGAAGCTACAATCATGCTCAGTGTTTTTTTTTTCATCATCATTTGAAGTAGATCTGACTCTCAGTTGATTTATTGCTCTCATGTTAAACTAAAGTCCTGGAATGAGAGTCTTTCTGTAGGGAATTTTGGTCATGAACTGAAACCAGTCCTGAAGGATGTGAAACTCAGCATTTCCCAACATCAGAATGAGTTTAATGAATCTCTCGTGCAGCTCAGGTAGCAAGATGTTTTTTCCAGGACAATGTGACGATCAAACAACATCAGCTGAGGGAAGAATCAAGAACATCTGGCTTCATTTTCACCAGGACTGCTTCCCAACATTGCAGCACCTAGCGTTGGCACAAAAATCAAGCATCAGCGCCACTGAACTCAACCCGTGTGGAAAAACTGAACCTTTCAAATAACTAAATCATCTTTTTAACAATAGTGTGATTTTGAGAACTTTTAGAAACTGTGTGTGTGTGTGTTAGAGAGAGTGTGTGCGTGTGTGTTGTGTGTGTGCGCGTGTGTGTGTGTGTTAGAGAGAGTGTGTGTGTCAGTCTGTGTGTGAGAGAGAGTGTGTGTGTGTGTGTGTGTGTGTGTGTGTGTGCGCGCGCGTGTGTGAACTGAAACACCATCAAGAATATTGAACACTGAATCCAAGCTTCCAGTGTCTAGTGTTTGTCATTTAGAAACGTGTAACACGTTACATGAACGTAAACTTGGCAATTCAATGATTCATTCCTCAAAATGTTCTCATAATAAAACTGTCACACATTAAAAAAGAAAACAAGAAGGATTTTGAGTTTTCATGCTTTGGAAAAGTAAGACAGCCACATGGTTTGTTTTTAATTTGATGTTTTTTATTTTTTTTAAATGTATATTTATTGTACATTTACACAGAGAAATTTAACTTTTTTGTTGTTAAATGCTCACATTTCTAGTATTTATTTATTTATATTCATGCATTTTTTGCTGAATGCCCACAATTCTGTATTATATTTAAAACAATTTTATTAGATTTTTTTATTCCCATAATTATATATATATACTGTATCGATATACTTTTTTTTTTTTTTTTTTATATTTATTTCTTTTGTTAAATGCTTTGATTTGTCCTTCCTCTTTGTTTCTTCTGCTTGTTTTGAGGAAGACCTTGCACCCATTTCTTGCAGCTTTTTTCACATCTGCATCTAATTATTTGCACATGATTTCAGTTCTTGCAGAGCTGGCGAGGATCAGATCAAGTCGATCTCACACTCGGAGACGAACGTGACGGTTCTGAGCTCTGTGTCGAGCTCCGCTTGCACAGGTATCTCTCTCTGACGGGAGGTGAAGTATCTGACCTCCTCGGCCTCATCTTTAGAGACGCTTTCTGCCCTGGCTTGTTTTAGGCAGCTCTTCTTGGGCGTGGGACGGCCCAGGACTTTCTCCTTCAGCCAGATCCCACAGCTTCTCAAGGGAGAGTTCCCAGGCTTGATGAGAGCCGTTTCCCTCAGCTGATCTGCTTCTCCTAGGGTCTGTTGGAGTATCTCCTGGAGGTTTCTTTCCACAGTAGGCGTGTAATGTCTCTGGATCATGGGTGTATCGGGCCACGCCACCCTCCCGGGCTCCAGACCCCTGACGGGATCCACCAGGAACGTCCCCGTCTCAGCCAGGTGCTCCCATTTAGTCTCAGTGAGCTTCAGGAGAGCCTTCAGGATGCGATTGGGAGCACTGGTGGGCACGTCTCTCAGACGGGACAGCATCCCTCTCTCAGGAGCTCCGGGTGGGCTCCACCTGCTCCTCACCTCGTCTCTCCAGGGCGAGGCAAGCGGCCTCGACTGGCTCCGAAGGCTGCAGTACGGCTCTTCTTTACAGTCAAAGTTGGTTTTAGTGGCCTTCATGCAGCTCTTGGGCCGTCCAGGGATGGGTTTGGCTTCTAAGGGCAATCTGTAGGACAGGTCTGCCCACGACACCTGCTTAGGTCCAGCTTTCCTTCTCGGAGGATTTAGTACCAGGTTAACAAGTTCCTCTCTCCAGCACAGATTGGACTCAGAAGTGCTTTGAGTGCTGCGCTCCGCCATCATTCTCACTGTATTCCTTAATCGGAATGAATGGCTATATATGGGGATATCAGATTCAGAATTATTAATGGCTCACGCCACGGCCTTTTATAGGCTGCGCGCGTGACGTCATCGCGCCTGCGGGGTGGCCCTGTGACGTCACATCGGCCGCGTTCTAAATCCGAATGCGCGCGCACTGAAGTATGCCCCACCAGCCGCAGAACTAAAGTGTGAAGCTCGTGCTTCAGATCGAGGGGGTTTTCAAAAGGAAAAACTGAGAGGTAGACATTAATTATTAATAACTGCTTTTAATTGGCAATTACATGTTCCACGTGATTTTTCAATTGTACAACATAAAATGCCAATTTTTTCATTAAGTGTTGTCTTCATAAAATCGCACTATTTTTTTGCACACAGTATATAGGCTAAATGAGTTTTATAATAGCCTGCAGTGAATCATCATGCATAGGCTACATCTATCTGGCAGAGTTTAAAAACTTATTTCAACTATGATATGCTTTCTTGAAACAGACATCACGGAGGAAGACTAATGCAAACGATCCGGTATTTAGTTGTGCATTCAGCAGTGACGGGGTTTTAGGCACGAGTAGCTGTATAATAAGCTAGGATATGGCGTGTTTCTGCTGTTACCAGTGAAAACAATGCAAGTGTTCTTCTGAGGGTTTTGTTTCAGACAGTCTCAGGCTTTACAGTCGAGAGTCACCATGTGTTTCTGTCTGGGAAATGGACTCATGTTTATTATTTAAGTAATTATTAATTATTTTCACTACTTAGTTTTAAGGAGGCAAAAACAGTCCTCATGAACCTCGGGCGGCACGCGCTGGAATTCTGTCAGAGCGAAACATTCGGTGGGTTTTCGGGGAAATGGGCGTGTCTTTCCCTGGAGTGGGCGTGTTTTGGGAGTTTTGGGGCTTTCCTGTTTTGTAAAGCTTTTGGACAGATTCCCCAGATTCAGCTGCCATAATCCAGAGCCATGACCGAGGAGCCGGGGACTGCAGCTGGTAGGTGCAGTGAGGCAGTGTTTCTGTGGCGAACCGTTCAAGTGATTTGACTATCATTACATATTTCAGCAGCGAGGTTGTCATGGCAACCAGATACATCGTACGCTAATTATTTTCTGCGCCTCGTGTATTTATGCCGCTAACACTTATCTCAAAGTAGCTTTTATTAATCAAATGAACGCGTGGAAAGCGCTTGTGAAGCACAACAGGAAGCAAGTGTGTCATGATCCGCCGAAATACAGAACTTTATTACACGGATCAGATCGAGGGAGGCATTACTGACTTTGATTTATACATTTATTTTCGAAATAACAATTTAAAACGTGCTTAAATAACTAAACTATACACATATTTACTTCAGAGTTGAAAATATTGTTTATTGAAAAATATAAGCCGATATATTTAGTAAAATCTTTCAGTTTCACTTTCATTAGGACGTTCTAATTTTTAATTGTGATTTTTGCTACAATGTTCACTAAATTCTAAACAATCGTTTTATGAAAAAGTGAAGAATTAAGAAAAAAACAACCAAAATTAAAATCAGCATTATTATGATCGGAATTTAAACGTGAAACAAGTATGACGTAAGTGAGCATTTAAACGTCTTCCTCAGTTTACACTCTGACCGGTAGATGTCAGGAAAACACCAACTAAAGCAGTTCCTACTTCTGTCGTTTTGTTTCGTTTACTTTCATACATAAAGAAATGTTAAACTAATGTTAAGATTTCTGAGAAACTTCACTCACTCACACACACACACACACTCACACACACTCACTCACAGACACTCACACACACACACACACACACACTCACACACACACACACAGA